GATATATATCGTTATATCGAACAGCCCTAGTGGTATGATCTTTTCCTATTTAAGGATGATTTTCAATCCACTGGTTCCCTTCATGTCTGCCAGTACTCCATCCTGTCTGATGGTTCATTAACAACAAATAGCTACAAGCTTCAAACCTTCAACCCCACACCAGCTATTGCCCTCAGAGCCTTCGCTCCCTGCTTTTACTGTTCTGCACCTCCTCCTCATTCTCTAACTCCTCCTGTTGTCCAAACAACAGCAACTGATAGGGTGGTAGGCCTTTCTCCTTGGACAAAGCAGCTATTATCAGTCTATTCAATAAGCTTCTACCACACAGAATACAACAACAACCGCAGCACTCTATAGTAGCTAGGAAACATGCCATTTATACTAACAAGGACATGCAATGGTCAATTTTTGAGTCAGATCAGTCTATTTGTTTGGCGCCTTCACCGGTTTCTGATTAGGCCTAACCCTCAGCCAGAGTTTACAAAGGTGATTGTGCAGGTATACAATGTGTCATGTGGTGATAATTAGCTCCAGCTTTACCTTTTATCTGGACAGCACTAGACTGGATGTGCATTTAATCACCTCATAGGGTCCAGTCCACCAGGGTTCAAGCCACTTTCTATTGTGAACTTTCACCCGCACCTAGTCACCAGCCTTTATTGCTGGAGTCTGTTGTAGTTTCCTCAGGCTCAGCCAGCTGCACCTGCTTAAACAAAACTTAAAAACTCACTTAGTCTACGCTGTCATATATTCATCACAGTTCACCTGCCAAGCATCCAGAGCGGTCATACGACCTCCCTCTCAGGGTTGGGCCAGGCATTGGCCTGCCTCTCAGCGACTCATGTGGCATCAGCTGTGTATGCGCACCCGGAGAGGTTCTCATTGACATAAGAAAAATGGGGAGAGTGTCCACCCATCTCAGTCTACTGTCCTAATATATGCCAGAATTTTTCTCTTCAGTCTGATTTGCCCTTTCACCACCCCTTGTGAGGCAGGGTGGTAAACAAATCGGTGTGTTATACCTAGAGCTTTTTCTACCTCTGCCAGTTCTTTATTGGACAAATGTGAATCATTGTCAGAGCATATGCTCCTCGGGACACCATCATTTTTGAATGGGATTGCTTCCACCTAGCTTGTGAAGCAGTCCACCGCCACCAGCAAGTAGCTGAAACCTCTCACTCTGTTTTCAACTCCCAAATCAGGGACTTGGCCAAGCTCTTGAAAATCTTGAAATATGTGGATCCGCTGCAAAGCTGCAGCTGCGTGTGTAAGTTGACAGCCACAATAAAGAAGTGTACTGAAAAGTGCAAACATGTTGTCGGGTCTGTCGTGCATCAGTGGTGCTGAAACCCAGGATTGGGGCTACCAGAGTCTTTGTGTGTCGGTATGATCTGTCCTCTTTCTTCCATGGGTGAATCCTCTTCAGGTTTGTTTTACTCCTCTGAGGAAAACGCAACATACCACATGTCTACTTCCACTGCCTTCCAAGCGTTTGGTGCGTCTGTGGCCTCCCAGGTCAAGCTCAGCGCTTTCTTGACCATTGAGCCCAGTGTTCTAGCCTCATAGTTGCTTCCAACTACAAGTGTGACATGAGAGTGTAAAGTACTCTCATCTAAGCCTGAGTTATACCC